AATTTAGAGAAGAACAAATATTATTTTTGGATTTAGAGAAAAGCAGACATTACTTTTGGATTTAAAGAAGAACAGACATTACTTTTGAATTTAAAGAAGAACAGACATTACTTTTGAATTTAGAGAAGAACAAATATTATTTTTGGATTTAGAGAAAGCAGACATTACTTTTGGATTTAAAGAAGAACAGACATTACTTTTGGATTTAAAGAAGAACAGACATTACTTTTGAATTTAGAGAAGAACAGACATTACTTTTGAATTTAGAGAAAAGCAGACATTACTTTTGGATTTAAAGAAGAACAGACATTACTTAGAGAAAAGCAGAATTTAAAGAAGAACAGACATTACTTTTGAATTTAGAGAAGAACAAATATTATTTTTGGATTTAGAGAAAAGCAGACATTACTTTTGGATTTAAAGAAGAACAGACATTACTTTTGGATTTAAAGAAGAACAGACATTACTTTTGAATTTAGAGAAGAACAAATATTATTTTTGGATTTAGAGAAAAGCAGACATTACTTTTGGATTTAAAGAAGAACAGACATTACTTTTGAATTTAAAGAAGAACAGACATTACTTTTGAATTTAGAGAAGAACAAATATTATTTTTGGATTTAGAGAAAAGCAGACATTACTTTTGGATTTAAAGAAGAACAGACATTACTTTTGGATTTAAAGAAGAACAGACATTACTTTTGAATTTAGAGAAGAACAAATATTATTTTTGGATTTAGAGAAAAGCAGACATTACTTTTGGATTTAAAGAAGAACAGACATTACTTTTGAATTTAGAGAAGAACAAATATTATTTTTGGATTTAGAGAAAAGCAGACATTACTTTTGGATTTAAAGAAGAACAGACATTACTTTTGGATTTAAAGAAGAACAGACATTACTTTTGAATTTAGAGAAAAAGAACAAATATTATTTTTTGGATTTAGAGAAAAGCAGACATTACTTTTGGATTTAAAGAAGAACAGACATTACTTTTGGATTTAAAGAAGAACAGACATTACTTTTGAATTTAGAGAAGAACAAATATTATTTTTTGGATTTAGAGGAAAGCAGACATTACTTTTGGATTTAAAGAAGAACAGACATTACTTTTGAATTTAGAGAAGAACAAATATTATTTTTGGATTTAGAGAAAAGCAGACATTACTTTTGGATTTAAAGAAGAACAGACATTACTTTTGGATTTAAAGAAGAACAGACATTACTTTTGAATTTAGAGAAGAACAAATATTATTTTTGGATTTAGAGAAAAGCAGACATTACTTTTGGATTTAAAGAAGAACAGACATTACTTTTGAATTTAAAGAAGAACAGACATTACTTTTTGAATTTAGAGAAGAACAAATATTATTTTTGGATTTAGAGAAAAGCAGACATTACTTTTGGATTTAAAGAAGAACAGACATTACTTTTGAATTTAGAGAAGAACAAATATTATTTTTGGATTTAGAGAAAAGCAGACATTACTTTTGGATTTAAAGAAGAACAGACATTACTTTTGGATTTAAAGAAGAACAGACATTACTTTTGAATTTAGAGAAGAACAAATATTATTTTTGGATTTAGAGAAAAGCAGACATTACTTTTGGATTTAAAGAAGAACAGACATTACTTTTGGATTTAAAGAAGAACAGACATTACTTTTGGATTTATGGAAGAACAAACATTACTTTTACATTTAGAGAAGAACAGACATTACTTTTGGATTTAAAGAAGAACAGACATTACTTTGGATTTAGAGAAGAACAGACATTACTTTTACATTTAGAGAAGAACAGACATTACTTTTGAATTTAGAGAAGAACAAACATTACTTTTGGATTTAGAGAACGGACATTACTTTTGGACTGACCTTCATACCACGTTTGGAAAAGAATAAGACTATGTAGAAAACTAGATTTGAAATGCTGAGATATTTGTGTCCATTTCGGTATTATTTGTGTGTATTTATTATTGAATCCGTTGTTATCAAGATACAAGATGGCTGTGAGTAGGATGTTGAATATTATCCGTATAAATGAGTAGACAATGAGACACACTGAAAAAGCTGGCCAGACAACGTATTTCGCCTCTTTAGAATACGTGTCTTCAGGTTTAAATGAGAGACAAACTTTGTGTGTAAAGGAAGTGCGTTGGAATTTTTGAGGAAAGGGTCCGTTGATGTCTGTTGGACTTGAAAAAATTCAGGACACTCCGAGTAGATCTCTGTATTTTTTTCTTTTTCTTTATTATTTCGTATCACACACGAGTGGCTGTTCATAAGTTCTTGTCCCGGCCATAAAAGTAATTCCTACAAAAATTTGTTTATCAGATTCGGGGGCATATGTCAGATCGAGAACATTTCAGCACCACTCACACACAAACTTCCCCACATACTTAATATTAAATAAAATATAAGGAATTAACAACGATTGAAAATGTGGGTTATTCCACTTGGCTTTACCAAAAACGCTCGCTAGGGGGCGCTTCTTTGAACCTATAAAAAGTCTTTTAGCTCTGGTTTTCAGATGTAGTCGCAAGTTCGTTTCTTTTGTCTACTTTGATTTTTAAACGCTCTCACACACACATATGAACACATGTGCCTATCACACACGTTAGTTACACACACACAAATATATTTTCATTAAAAATTGTTTTAATGTTTTTCCTTGTGTTACAATTGTCTATACATATAATTCTTTTTGTTAATATATGCATTGTCGTTTTTTTTTTTATATTCTTTGTTTTGTGAGTTTTATTTTTACCTGGACTCACACTGAGTCCGCTAATATTGTTTGCGGGATAATGTTCTAGGAGCCCGTAAATATTTACTGTCCAAAGTGTTGATTTTCACAACATAATAATGATTAATATTTATCTATTCATACCAAATCGCTCGCAACAAAAACTTGCATTATTATTTCATTGCATTCATGCGCTTCTATATTTAATTGTGTTACATTTAATGAAAAACAGACACGGCTTTTTAAAGGGCCCACGTATAGTGATTGAGAAAGAAGGGGACTGTTTTCAAAACTTGATTTGGATTTCACGAGATATTTGCTCATTTCGGTATATGTTTTCTACTATTAAATCTGTTCTAATTAAACAACAAAAAAAAGTGTCGAACCTTATAATGACAGCTCTATAGACCGATATTTGAGCGAAAATTTGGGGGATGATTTTTAATGGAGACTGATCCACTTTTTCTTTTCTGGGTCGGATAAGGTTGATTTGTATTGCTCAACACAATCTTCTTATTACAATCTGACCTTGTGCCTTACTAAGCCAAGCTCTGTAAATATAGATAATAATCGTATAGAGCATTCCAGTCGGTCAATAATAACCATTGTGTAGTTTTTGCAACAATCAACTAAGGACATTTAAAACTCTTTTTTAAAAAGAAAGAGAAAAAAAATGGCGGCGGTGATCAGATAATGGCAATTGTTGAAAAAAATTACAGACAAAGGCCTCGTTGCTTATTGAATAGCACAATGCTTTCGTGAAAAAGCAAATTAAAAATATTGTAAGCAATAATTGATTCGGTTTTAAATGCTGTACATTTGAATGTAAATTTACGGTTTTAAAAGATAGGACATGACCTCTGTCTCGGAAAAGCGGATTAAAATGCAAAGAATTGGCCAGACCGGAGATGTTTTTGGAAATAAATGAAAGTAGGTACCATGGGCGGATAGAAAATGGTTGAGATCTTGGAAAATATAGAGGAAATAACAAAAACTTATTTTCTTTCATTTATTTAAGTATCTTATTGTGTCGTCTGCTTTTTGAAAGTTATCCATTAACTGAATATAGCAAACGACCCAGACTTCCATTTTGTTTTCGAGTTTAGATTTCTTCCATATAATAAAAAAGAAAGAGAGAAAAAAAACTCCGTAATTTCATCCACATATCTTAGCACTTCCGGTGGATTCTAATTTTTTTTTTTTTTTTTTTTGCTTCATGGTATCTAATATTTTTTTGTTTAATTTCCGTGTATTTTTTAATTTTATTATTTTCTTTCTTTCTTTCTTTTTACTGCCAATTGATTGTGGGATTAACAAATAAAAAAAAACTCCATCAACATTTTACATTCTTTTAAAATGTCGTCAAACTGATTAATGGTTGTTGAGAAAAACGATTTTGCTCGAACTAGCGTTATCTCAAAACTGCTCGTATTTGATTGATTTTTTTTTTTAAAGAAAATGCAGAAAGATGATCAAAGTGCTGTACTATCAAAACAGGAGTCGACATCAGGTCGACATACATCCACACCGATAAATAAATGGAGGTAAGTATGGATTTATAGACGCTTATTAGAAATGAGAATAGACATTTCGCAGAGACGTAAACAGTTGCTATAGAACTTACATATACATAGGTGTACAGATATAGATGTGCTGGAAAATGTCGGATTAAAAATAAAACCCATTAATTCTTTTGAAATCACTTTGTTTGGGCGGGTATGGGCTCTCTGGAAGAAATATCCGAGTGAAAGAGTGTACTTTCTTTAACGAAAAATAAAGCCCAGGCGAATTATGACGCTCCCTGTAGCCGAGCGGTAAAACACACCGGATTAAACAGTGGTTTTTCTATACAAAGACAGATGCAGGTTAGATCCCTACCATAGAGAACACTTTCTTAAATTAACATTTCTCGAATGCTAAAGACGATAGACTGAATACATATTATTTAGAAAATAAAAATAGGGCGTCTATTTTTAAAGACGAGTTATCCTCTGTAATAACGTTTGGTATATATATATATATATATATATATATATATATATATATATATATATATATGATAATGGAAATGGACAAAGTCAAACAATTATATTAAGACATATTTTATATTTATACATTCTTTTTATAGATACAAATATTTAAGTAAATGCTCTGTTTTATAATAAACAGTATTTATAACATTTATTAAAAAAAGAAAGAAAGAAAGAAAAAATAAATAAGAAAGAAAAAATGAAGAAAAAGAGGAAGTATTACGCATTATATATATATATATATAAGAAAGAAAAAGGAAAAAGAAAAAAGAGAAAGGAAACAAAGAAAAAGAAAACAGATAAAAGAAAGAAAAAAGAAAGTGGGAAAGAAAGACTTGCTACAGAAAGAAAGATCGAAAAGAGAGCTTTACAAAGAGAGAAAAAGAGAAGCATGATAAACGAAAAAAAAGGACAATAGGAAATCCAAATAAAACGTGCCTGAGAGAGGGGAGAGAGAGAGAGAGAGTGAGTGAAAACGTAGCAAAGGAAGAAAGAAAAGAAAGAGACATAACGTCACAAAGATAGAAAGAAAAAGAGAAGCCATAGCAAAGAAAGGAAGAAAGAAAGAAAGAGAGAGAGAGAGAAAGAATGAAAAAAAGAAAGGAAGAAAGAAAGAAAGGAAGAAAGAAAGAGAACGTGGTAAAAGATCCGAAAAGAGAGGGAACGTGCCTACAAGTAACAAAGAGAGAAGACGTAGCAAAGAAAGAAACAGAAGAGAGATAAAGTAACAAAGACATAAAGAAAAACAGAAGGCATGAAAAAGAAAGAAATAAAGAAAAAAAGAAAATGTAGTAAAAAAGAAAGAAGAGAGAGAACGCCCCCCACTAGAGAGAGAGAGAGAGAGAGAGAGAAGGAAAGAAAGGAAGAGAGGCGTCGTGACTACAAAATGAAGAGGGAAAACGCGACAAAAAAAAAGACGTCGCTTCGAAGAAAGAGAGGTAAAAAAGAACAGAGAAAATATGATGAAAGAAAGATAACTTACCACAGAAAGAAAGAACGAAAAGAAAGCTTTACAAAGAGAGAAAAGGAGAAGCATTATAAATGAAAAGAAAAGGACAAAAAGAAATCCAAATAAAACGTGTCTGCAAAAGAGAGAGAGAGAGAAAGAGAGAGAGAAAACGTAGCAAAGAAATAAAAGAGAGATAACATCACAAAGATCGAAAAAAGAGAAAGAATAGCAAAGAAAGAAAAGAAAGAAAGAAAGAAAGAAAGAAAGAAAGAAAGAAAAAAGGAAAAAGGAAAAAGAGAGGCGTATATGAAATGATGAGAAAGAAAGAGAACAAGAAAAGCATTTATGGAATTATTAGAAATAAAGGAAGAAAGGAAGAAATAAAAAAGAAGGAAAGAAAGAAAAATATATATGGAATCATAAGAAAGAAAGAAAGAAAGAAAGAAAGAAAGGGAAAAAAAAGAGAGGCGTATAGGAAATCATAAGCAAAAAAGAAAGAGAACAAGAAAAGCATATATGGAATTATGAGAAAGAAAAATAAGAAAGAAAGTTTATGGAATTAAAGAAGTTTATGGAATTAAAAGAAAGAAAGAAAGAAAGAAAGAAAGAAAGAAAGAAAGAAAACACAAAGAAATAATGGTAAAAACACAATAGAAAAGAAGAAAGAAAGAAAGAAAGAAAGAAAGAAAGAAAGAAAGAATTAAACGTGGAAAAAGGAAAGAAGAGGGGGAACATGCTTATAAGAGAGAAAGCGTAGTAAAGAAAGAAAGAAAGAAAGGAAGAAAGAAAGAAAGAAAGAAAGAAAGGAAGAAAGAAAGAAAGAAAGGAAGAAAGAAAGAAAGAAAGAAAGGAAGAAGATAGGCGGAGTGACAATGAAATAGAGAGAAAACGTGGCGTGAAAGAGAGGAAAAAAGAAAAGAGAAATTGAAAGAAAGAAAGAACGAAAAGTCAAGGAAGCTTTACAAAGAGAGAAAAGAAGAAGGCTAAAACGCATGATAAATGGAAAGAAAAGCACAAAAAAAGTCCAAAAAACGTGCCTGCAAAAGAGAGAGAGAGAGAGAGATAGAGAGAGGGAGAGAGAGAGAGAAAACGTAGCAAAGGAAGAATGAAAAGAGAGAGAGATAACGTCACAAAGATTGAAAGAAAAAGAGAAGGCTTAGCAAAGAAAGAAAGAAAGAAAGAAAGAAAGAAAGAAAGAAAGAAAGAAAGACAGAGAGAAAGAAAGACAGAGAGAAAGAAAGAAAGAAAGAAAGAAAGAAAGAAAGAAAGAAAGAAAGAAAGAAAGAAAGAAAGAAAGAAAGGGAAAAAAGAGAGGCGTATAGGAAATCAAAAGCAAGAAAGAAAGAGAGCAAGAAAAGCATATATGGAATTATGAGAAAGAAAAATAAGAAAGAAAGGTGTAAATGGAATTAAAAGAAAGAAAGAAAGACAGAGAGACAGACAGTCAGACAGAAAGAAATAAAGAAAGAAAGACAGAAAGAGAACGCAGGAGAAAGAACGAAGAGACTGGACGTGCCTACAAGAGAGAAAGCGAAGCAAAGAAAGAAAGAAAGAAAGAAAGAAAAAAAAAAAAAGAAAGAAAAGATAGGCGTTGTGACAATGAAATAAAGAGGGAAAACGTGTCGACGAAAGAGAGAAATTGATAAAAGAAAGATAAAAAGAAAGAACTCAAAGTCAATGGAGCTTTTATCAAAAGAGAAAAAGGAGAAAGCCAAACGCATGATAAACGGGAAACAAGACAAAAAGAAATGCAAACAAATTAAAAAAAAATACACACGTAAAAAGAAAATATTTTTTGCAAAACTCGAGCAAAACAAAGACTGATGAGCGTAATTGTTTCAAATTCCAATTAACAATCATTGTTATTGACATCTTGTTTTTTTTTCTTCTTCTTTTGTAATAGCAATGACAACAAAAGGACAAGTAAAACGTTTATGATTGGCCTGCACTTGTCTTTCTAACGTTACATCATGACAGCATATTTTCGCTAACTTTCTTATAGATCCCCCGTCTAAATTTACGGTTTGGTGTCACCTCATTCTGACAATTGTCACTGTTTAGAGTGTAAGGCTTTTTGCTGATTAATACGAATGCCAAAAATAATAATAATGTTTTTCCTTCCTTCGTTATCTGTGCAACGACAACACAAAACAGATTTTTACAGTGAGAAAACAACAACTTCCCGAGTAAAAAAAAAATGTCAGTAATCCGAAGAGAACTACATGTCCTACCAGGATTTATTATAGGTGGATTCAATCTTAAGATCCGAAGACACGTAGATGACACTGTGATGAAGCCAGACATAGAAAGAAATCTGCCGGAACACCTAGAAAAGAGAGCAAAGGAAAGCGAGAATAAAGGACTAACTGTCAATTGTAAAAAGATATATTTTTATCATTTCACGCCAAGCAAGTCGGAAATATCACTAATACGGAATGAGTTACAGGGCAGTGAAAGTGAGAGATAAGACTGGATATAGGAGGGATTGAGGAAAGAATAAAAGATGAACGGGGTTCAAGATGACAGAAGATGGCGATTGACGTTGTATTTAAATTTTTGAAGCAAGCAAACGGAAGGGAGTTCCACTAGTGGGAAGTGCGAGAAAAGAAACAGTTGGAGCTGAAGAGGCGGTTACATTTAACTATTTCAGCAGTAAAAGGGTGGGACCTAGATGCCAATCTAGTAGCTCGCTTAAATTCACGCAGTCGGGGTACCAGGGACAAAAAAAAAAGCTCGTCAGTGTAGTAACCATGAAAATATTTGTAGAAAAGACAGAGGGAAGCCACGTCACGTCGATGAGAAAAAGACTAAAGTCGAGATGCCAGGTCAGGATGGATTACATTGCAGAGCTTTCTTTGGGTTTTGTCAAGAATCTCGAGATGAACATCAGGGGCACCAGACCATATATGGCAACAGAGTTCCATGCAAGGACGAATGGTAGATTTGGAGATCTGCAAAATGGACACTGGCGAGAAAAACCTTCTGGTACGACACAATGAAGCAACTTTCCTTGCAGTAGATACAGCTATTGATTCGATGTAGTTGTTCCACTTCAAGTCATTTGAAAATGTGAGGCCAAGAAGACGCAGTGTGACGCTTTATCCACTGTGCCATGTGTCTTTGAGGACATCTGTGTATTCATTTCTGGGTATTATAAATTTAATGTCTTCAGTTACCATTTTTTTACCAGAGCTCATATTGCAATTTTTGTTATTATCGCTTTTCTCTGACACTCCTCATATTGTATTCATTTCTTTGCTTGGTCGGCTCAGGAGATTTTTGTGGCCTAGCATAAAATTAACAAGCCAGTCATTCAACAACAAATTGTAGGTCATTTCTGAGATCAGCTACCAGTTTAACCCTATCGGACCGATCAGATTTACTATTAAGCCAAGAGTAAATAGTTGTGTCCCCAGCATAGATGTCGACTTGAAAACTGATGACATCAGGAAGGTCATTTATGAAAATTAGTAACAACGTAGGTACACTGATAGAGCCCAGGGGAACGCCTGCATTTATGTGAAAAGATGTAAAAAGTGGCCAGTCATGTCAACATTCATTTCGTGATTTGATAAGAAAAACTGAATAAGTTCAAAAATTCGTCCAGAAATACCATGACCTTTCAACTTGTAAAGAAGACCAACATGCCAAACCCTGTCAACTGCCTTCGAGATATCCAACGCAACTACCCGAAGTTCACCATTTTTATCTAATGCGTGATGGACTCTTTCAGCAATAATTGTTAATACATCAGCAGTTGACCTAAAGAAGCGAAAGGCATATTGCTTATCGCGAAAAACACCCTGCGATGTTAGATGCTTAACCAATTCAGAGTTGATTAGAGTCTCTAGTAGAAGGCTAACAGGCCCATAATTAGAAGAATCATATTTATAAAGAGTAAATCATTTACTCTGATAGAATGTCGACCAGATGTGAATAAGCCAGTTGCTATTCCATGGCAAGATATGAAAACAACAAAACGTTCAATATTGATTAGGCTTTCGACTCTCGTCAAAACCATTTCTGCGTCTACGTTTTCGAATTTTATCAAAACCATTTTTGTTTCTACGTTTTTGACTTTCGTCAAAACCATTTTTCTACGTTTTTGACTTTCGTCAAAACCATTTTTGTGTCCACGTTTTTGACTTTCGTCAAAACCATTTTTGTGTCCACGTTTTTGACTTTCGTCAAAACCATTTTTCTACGTTTTTGGCTCTCGTCAAAATCATTTTTGTGCCCACGTTTTTGACTCTCGTCAAAACCATTTTTTCAACGTTTTTGACTCTCGTCAAAACCATTTTTCCACGTTTTTGACTCTCGTCAAAACCATTTTTTTCAACGTTTTTGACTCTTGTCAAAACCATTTTTTCAACGTTTTTGACTCTTGTCAAAACCATTTTTCCACGTTTTTGACTCTCGTCAAAACCATTTTGCGTGCATGTTTTGACTCGTCAAAAACATTTTTATATCTACATTTTTATCTCTCGTCATAAGCTTTTTTTGTGTTAACCTTTTTTGACTAAGTCTAACATTTTTCCTATAATCAAATCCTGCTGAAAACACTTCTCAATCGATCATTGAAGCTCGGTCAGTTGTTGAGCTCGGTCAGTACTTAAATAGATGACCACTTCGGAGTACTGAGTAGTGTTTGCAACCGTCGACAATTCGATAGATATTTTGGCTTTAAATAACCCACAAAAGGTTGATAAACCGTAAAACATCAATCTGCCATGTGAAAAGCAAACTCCTCTCCAACTTTTTGACTCTCACACAAATGAAGACGATTGTGTACATTTTGACACCGTTCAAAACAAATCGGCGTCTAAAATTTTGACTCTCTTGACCAGTCATCTACTTCATCAAATTCAAGACCGAGTAGCTCTAGTGATCATTATCATCGTTCAATATCATTTCAGGAGGTAGAGGATCATGGCCTTCCACAGCTTCCTGTCGTTACGACTCGGTGTAGTCGTTGTTCCGCCAGCCATACACAATCTTAAGCAGCTTACTCGTTATTTTCGTCCGCGTATCTGGACTTCAGTGCGCCTTGTGAGTTTTAGATTCACCAAGCCTTCTACCTGATCGTAAACGTCAATTTTGAAATGTAGATGTCTAAAACAACGGAGAAACGGTATGAATCGAACTCACTACGTAAGCGAATTCCTCTGAGACGAAATTGCAAGCCATCTTACCCTGGTAGGTTACCCAAAGTTACGGTGTAACCATTGTTTATATAGAGCACTGCAGTAGTCATCGGAAGTCAATGGTCTGGCAGTGTTTGATACGGAAAAAAATTGCGAATGCCATGGCTTTATTTTTTTTTTTTTTTTTAAATCTTTTGGA